GAGTATTAAAAAAGATGTTGGAACGAATTTATTTGGCTTTAGCAGAAATGTTAAAAAGAACTATGCAAGAATATGTCATGGTTATGAGAAATTGGTATAGATAAGACTCAAGCTTTAAGTTTTAGGGTTTTTTATAGTAAAATAAGGTTAAAATAGATTAAGGTAATTTAATGACAGAATATTATGAAAAATGGGAAGGATTTGCTGTGATAATCAATAACTAGAATACAAAAGGGAGGTGTGAGGAGGTCCATGAAACAAGTTAATGAAAGATAAAGATTTGGGAATATTGGATTTGTTTTTAAATTTTTTGTTTATTTTTGCTTTTTGCTTTTGATGTATTTGTGTGATTTGTTTTTCTCTTTGATTTTTGTTTTTATTGATTGGTATTGTTTAATTTCTCTTTTTGTCTACTTTTTTCTTTGTTTCTTTGTAACTTTAAAATCCTCAATAAATATTATTTAAAAAAATAAAAATAAAAAGTAGATACACACATTTGAGTAGGAATGCAAAATGGAAGTGGCTTGCCATGATTATATTACTAAATGCTATGGAGGTTCTAGCAGAGTAACACAATTATGTTCATTTGCTGGTTCTTTATCCATATTAAGCTTAAATTAAGCCTACATCCTAAGTACTTATTCTCAATGGATTTGATTCGATATTGGAAACTCATACAAGTGATTTCACATGTCTTGCTGCCTTTTAGTGAGCTGAATGATGCTTGACTGAATGAAAGTTCACCACAGGTTTTCTAATCTGAAAAACATGAAAAAGAAAACCCACACCTTAATACAAAGTTAATGTTAAGATTTGAAATGGTTATGCAGTGTACTGTTAGATGCCACCACAGTCTCAGAGTAGTGCTACAATCCAGGCACTTACCCAGGGTTCATGTTTCCTTTAGAATGAGGTACTGCAGAGAGTAAGTTTCCATCTTACTGTCAGGTCAAGTAACTATGAGCAGGATTCCAGCCTCAAAAGCCTAATTATGAGTTTTCTTACCCTGAAATTAAAGGGGTCACAAAGTGCCCCAGATTAATTGATGTGTAAATGGAGATGTCAATTTGTGAAACAAGCAAAAGAAAAATCAAGGAAACAAAAACCAAAACACTGCCAAAATATCGAGCCCCTTGAAGATACCAAGTGATTTATTCAAAGCAAACTGCTCTTCTTGTAGGAGGCTAGGGCTCACTAATGACTTCTCAGGAGAATGGAATAAGCTAAATGGGGAATCTTTTTAGACCAGCCAGTAGTAAATTAGTTGTACCAGGATCATAATAGAGACTACATAGAATAGTCAGTACTTGGCTAATTACCTTTCAGAATGAAGGTCATGTTGGAATTCACTTGCAAAGAATGATCATTAGGAAGTGTTGCCGAAGTAAAAAAAATAAATCAAAAATCACCCTTGCTATTTAAAGAGTTTTGATGCATGGGCTTTGCTCCCACAATTTTTGTGGGGTGCTGAGGGGTGGGTGCACAAGCCACATCACCTTTGCCAATTCTCATGCCACTCTCTAAGTTGCAGATTACAGGAGCTATGGCATCCAAATCAGAGGCAGATGTAAACCTTACATTGTGCTTTGTCAAAGAGGCATTCTGTCTTACATTTTTGGTTGTGTGCTCAGCTGCAGGGCCCCCCAACCATGGCATGCCCGACTACTGAGAGATAAATGAATAGATGCCACAACTGTCTGGGATTTGAAATGGCCACAACTTTATTGATTTCAGATGTAGGAAGCCTTGGCATAGGCACTGGGCATGTATCCCTCTCAGCCGCATGCTGGGAACTGAGGCATGACAGGGTTAATTCAGGGGTGGGTCCATCACAAAATGCAGGTTTATGCAGATGTCCCCCAAATGCTGAGGGAAGCTCTATGGCCCGCTAGCCCTCCACAACTGGCACTTTGGACAGAGACTTCCCTCCAGACCCCTCTAACGGGGTACCCTGTTAACGCCACCACAGAGAACAGGAGGTGGATGAGTCACCACTTCACCACACCCCAGTTGAATGAAAGACTGTAGGATTCCGTTCAAGACCTAAACTGCCAAAGTTGTGACTAGTACTATGGGGAAGGTGAAACTCGCAGTGCAGGGAAAATTCCTTCCCGGCCCCAAACACGGCAACCATCAACAGACCACAGCAAAGCCCTCCTGGCTGAAAAAGAAATGGTTAGAGTGGGAAAAGGTTATTAATGAAGGGAGGGAAAGTGTGGGTGACGCTCCCGGCTGACTGGGTGCTGCGATTGGAGGTCTGCTGGGCTAAGTAGATGGTGGGTGGACCTGAGGGAAGGCTGCCTCCGTCAGATCCATTCACCATGCCCCCCCCCCCGGCAGCTGCCATGGATTGCCCATTTGAAAGGATGGGTTTTGGCGGGAATGCGTGAGCCTCTGTGGCAGCTGAGGGGGACAGGGAGACAGGCAAAGATGGTGCTGCGTGCCTGAGGGGAGAGAAGGCATCACGTTGAGCCAAGCTGAACCAATTTTCAAGTGGCCATTCCAAACATTCTTTGTACCACTCCGCCTTAGAAATAATAGCAGCAAAATAATATTTCTTTATATCACCAAAAATAAAATATTGTGCTTTTTAACTTGTTCATAAATGATCTGGTATTAGGAGTGAAAAGTGAGGTGGCCCAGCTTGCTGAGGTACTAAATTGTTCAGGGTAGTGAAAATGAAAAGGGACTGTGAAGAGAAAGACCTCTTCAAACTGAGTGAATGGGTAGTGAAATAGCCGGTTAGGAAAGGAATTGAAACTAATGCCATTGTTCAATGTCAATAAACAAATGCAAATCTCTACAAATCTGTTGGTGTCACCACATTTGGATTACTGTGTACAGTTCTGGTCACTTTACCTCTAAAAGGGTATTGTAGAGTTGGGAAAAGGTTCAGAAAAAGGAAACCAGAATGATCAAGGGAATGGAGCAACTCCCCTAGGAAGAAAGGTTGCAGCATTTGGGGCTTTTCAGTTTAGAGAAAAGGCAAGAGATAGCATGACTGAAGCTTATAAAATTATACAAAAGGTTTTGTTTCTCTCTCTCTCATAATATTTTAATTCATGATCATCCAATGAAGCTGAATGTTGGTAGATTCAGGGAAGATAAAAGAAAGTACTTCTTCACACAGTGCACGGGTAAACCATGGAACGCATTCCCATAGGGGACTGTGTGATGTTGTTGTTTAGTCGTGTCCGACTCTTCATGACCCCATGGACCAGAGCACGCCAGGCACTCCTGTCTTCCACTGCCTCCCACAGTTTGGTCAAACTCATGCTGGTAGCTTCGAGAACACTGTCCAACCATCTCGTCCTCTGTCGTCCCCTTCTCCTTGTGCCCTCCATCTTTCCCAACATCAGGGTCTTTTCCAGGGAGTCTTCTCTTCTCATGAGGTGGCCAAAGTATTGGAGTTTCAGCTTCAGGATCTGTCCTTCCAGTGAGCACTCAGGGCTGATTTCCTTAAGAATGGAGAGGTTTGATCTTCTTTCAGTCCATGGGACTCTCAAGAGTCTCCTCCAGCACCATAATTCAAAAGCATCAATTCTTCGGCAATCAGCCTTCTTTATGGTTCAGCTCTCACTTCCATACATCACCAAACTGTGTGATAGAATGATTTAAAAGAGGGTTAGACTAATTCACTGAGAAGCAGGTTATCAATGGCTACTAGCCATTATGGCTAAGCTCTGTCTCCACAGTTAGAGGCAGCAAGGCTTCTGAATACCAGTTGTTGGAACCCACAGGAGTGGTGAGTGTTCCTGTGTTCCAATCCTGCTTGTGGGTTTCCCATGGGCATCTGTTTGGCCACTGTGAGAACAAGATGCTGGACTAGATGGGCCAATGGCCTTATCCAATGTTCTTGTTTTATGTTCTTATTGCTGATCCATCTGAAATTGCTCTGCTGGAGAAAACTCTAAGAATGATGTTCAGAGGGGAGCATTCCCTACCTGCTAAACTTTGGTTGCTTTAATGCAGGCTTAATTCAATAAAAGTGCAACTTGTTAGTCATAGGAGATTTTTTTCATTAATTTATGTATTAAACTCTTAACACTGTTAATGAGAGTGATTTTCACATCCAAACCTGCAAGGCTGGGTAACTTTAGCACATTAGCTACATAAAATCCTTTTTGCAAAGAGATGAATAAGTTGCAGTTCTCTACTGTCACCTTAACATTGTAAAATCCCACAATTGTTTTGTTCCCAAGAACATTGCATACAGTGCACATTTGCTTTCAAGTTTGCATTCCCATCCCCTAGTAGTGCTCTTCAATTATGATTTTTTTTTTTTGCATAACTTCAAGCAAGAATCAAGCACTAGGCTGAATGATGTCCCACTCCAACATTTTACACCTGAAAAACAGAGAGACTTTAGTGTGCTTGTAATGTATTGTCACTATTCTCACACCAAAGGGGATCTCTGCCTTAGCATTCTTCCCCCACCTCCCCACTTGTTCATTTAATCTGCAATAGCCTGCCCTGCAGGATTTTTAGGAGGCTTTTTGGCAATACCCTCCTTAAAAAATTCAAAACTTTAGGATGTACCAAATTCATCCAATTTGGGTTGATCTGGGATTCAGCAGGAGCAAGTTGAGGCAACTCTGGATCACTCCAGGTCAGATCAGGTCCACCTGGAATGAGCCAGGACTGTCAAAAGGAGTGAGGGGGAGACATCTGCCTGCGTGTGTCCCCTTCTTCTTCTCCCCAACCACGTGTCAATTTGGGCTTTTAATTAGGACCCCTGATTCAGTTTGGGGCCCAGATCCAGGTTAAGGCAGCCTTGCATCTTCCTGCATTAGACTGGATCAGGGCTGTGCAGAAACACTGGCTTGGGCCCCAAATTAGGTTGGGGGCACCATCAAGAGCAATTGGACACTCTGATCCTTAGGTGTTTGGGATGTTGGTTTATTCTGAGTCCATTCAATGGTCCACCTACTTCAGTATTGTCTATACTATTTGGCTACAAGTCACAAGTCTTTTAGGCAGGGGATATTCCTAGATTGACCTGGAGATGCCAGAGATGGAACCTAGGCCTTCTGCATGCAAATCAGATGTTCTACCAGTGAACTTCAGTCCTTCCTTCAAAATGTTAGATTCCAGTTAAGAGGTTTTTATTTGTTGTGGGTGTTTTTTCAGCACCCCAAACCTAGGAGCTTCGAGGAAGACATTCCTCTTTGAGACTCACAGTATGATGAGCAGATAATACATTGCCTGCATGTCCTTGTGAGGAAGCCAAACAATGCAGCACTCATCACAGGTCAATGTCTTCCTTGCCAGTGAATCAGCATGTGGGAAAGGCTTTATGCCTTCTCTGCAAGCAGAATCTAAGTGGTGTGGAGACACTGTGGATCTGGTCTCTTGGCAGTGGCATGTGTGCTGTGTACTGAGGTGGTGAGGGGTGTGAAACAGGGTGGCAGTGAGATTGAGTGGTAGAGCCAATCTGGCAGTTCCACCAGTTCACCCAAACTTCCCTAACCATACTGTCCCCTGCAGTGCCTTTTCATCATGTGGCAATGCTGTGTCTCCCTGCTGGCTATTCCTGGTGGTGGTGGCGGCGGCGGTGGTGGTGGTGGTGGTGTTGTGTGTGTGTGTGTGTAGAAGAGAGTGGTGCTGTGAGCAGGGCTTTGTGTTTATATGTGAGACAGTGAAAGTAATAAACTTATTCTGTAAAACTCTATCCAACCTGTACTTGCAATTTATTAATGCTGTGATTAATGCCCCCCCACCTGCCCAGTCTTCTTTTCAAACCCATCAGAACATATACATCTATGTCAGGGCTTGGCAGACATTTTCCGCCTGAGAATTCCTTTTCTTTCTCCTCACCCCTTCCGTCTCTCTTTTAGACTGGAAGCTGAACAGGCCTCCAGCCATGTTACCACCTGTTAGGGAAAAGGTTCGGAGCTGCAGAACAACACACATTATCTGAAAATTACTCTATGGTGAGTACTTTCTTTCATCTGGCACTATGATCGATTCAAATGGGGAAGGCTGGAAGAGAGCATTTCTGCTTAAATGCAATATTTTGGTTCCTGGGTTCCAATTAGCACATGCACCCCTGAGACATATGACATTAAATGGGCTAGATGAAATAGTTGTACTTTGGCTGGCAACTGGAAGTCGGCATCTCTAATTCATTTCATAGATTTTTGCTTGCAGCAGTAAGCTCTGCCTATGTTGTTGTGTATGTGTACCTGTTAAATAGGGGGTTTGCTTTGAGGATAACAATCACAAAGTAGAAGTGGGGAGCTCCATTCAGTCCCCCCTCCACATCCCAGAAAGGTGATCAGCCCTTTCATAGCTGAGTATAATGGTTATCCGTTTCACAAGTATATGTGCTGATCTAATTGTAGGAGGGACTTTATCAAACATTTTGCTCATCAAGTCTGATGAATGGGATAGCTTTGGTTTCTCTCTTTTTCTTAATTTCTCAGTTCATCCCATTTCCACTTCAATTTGCATTTTTTTCTTTAAAAGGTCTGCATGAATATTTGAATGCCTTTACATCCACATTCCTCCTAATATGTGCATTTTCTATATGTAATGTTGCCCAGTGCACACTTTTTTAGGGGGTGGAGTCAAGGAAATTTACCTAGTGTAACTTTTATATGCTATTTCCACTAATGTTTGCATTTTTGTGTATGCTTTCTGTTTGAAGAACTGCATCTCAAAAATTTGGAGAAGTGCACATTTTGAAGGATTGCAGTTTTTCAGTTCATTCATTGGTTCCAGAAATGCAAATTAGGTAAATTCACACTAAAGTGCAAACTGAACAAAATTATCCCCCATCCTTCTGTCCATCAACACCTACATATGAAGCATATGTATGACAAGCAGTCTCTTAAGGATCACCATTTCCAGACTGAAATGATCACTTTTAACTTCTCTCTCATTTGTGTGATTGATTGTCCCCCCTCAGCAAAACTACATTAATAAGATATCATTAAAAAATGCTGGCTTAGCTGGGCAAACTCCGTTTTTCTATCATGTTTGCATTATTTGTTCCAAGAATATAATTCTTGAAGTTCAGTACACAAGAAGACCATAGCTCAGTCATTTAAAAATCTGATTTACATGCAGAAAGTCCCAGATTCAATCCCTGGGACATCTCCAGATAGGAATGGGAGAGACTCCTGTGTGAAACTCTGGAGAGCTACTGGCTATTAATGTAGACAATACTGAGCTGGTTGGACCAACAGTTTGACTCAGCATACATCAACTTTCCATGTTCTTAAGCCAGGCATGACCCTGGTCAAAAGTTTCCGCCTCCAGTCAGAAGCCTAATCGCAGATACATGCCCAGTGCCTGAACCAAAGCCTACCTACACCAGTAATCAATGAAGTTGTGGCCAATTTTTAATCCCATAAATTTGCCGCATCAATTTGTAAACCTGTCAATATCTCAGTCTTCCATCCATGGGGAGCATGCTGTGCATGGGTCCGCAATGATGTCAACATTAAATGGCGTCATCAACCAGCATTCAAAATTCATACAGCAATCAAGTCTTCCAAAAAGATCTATGTTGGTTTGATGAACGCTGTTCTTAGGGATTATTGTCTATATAAGAAAAGAAAAAAATACAACTCATCCATCAATAGTTGAGACCAATTCTGTTCATCCATCAGGCACCCAAACTCAGTCAATTTGTCCCTTGAAGCAAAATCCCATCCCCTTGTGTAGCACTGAGCAAATGAGTTATGATTCTTCCATATATGAGCAATTGCTAAATGTGCTGCCAACAGCGACAAAACATACTATATCCTAAGTCACTAATTCACACCCTCAAAATAAAGTAAGAATTGCTGAATGGTTTTCCTGTCAATCTTTTCATTCCCAGAAAGTCTTTAGCTCATCCACATTATTGCCCTGTCTCCCATCGGCCATCCACAGACACACTTCTCCTTGACTGACCTAACACCAGAAGGCAAGGAGGACATGAGAGGGAGCAGCAATTGCCACCTTCTATTTCTATCAAAGAAGATGTATGTGTCTCTGAATCTGGAATTACTGTTATCTTCTGAAGTATTTCCACCCCAACCACCACACACACACACACACACACACACACACACACAATGCCCCAAATAAGTTTGTCTCTGTTTACAGTGAAAAAGATATGATGGCCAAAGAGATTTGCCTCAGGGAGCTTTCAGACTGGCTGTTTATTGGGCATTCATCTCAATACGTTCATGCAGAGGTTACATGACTTTGACAGCTAGTGGTTGTTATCCCACACTTTGCAAGAAAGAAAAGAAGAAGTGATGAGATAATCTGAACGTTGCAAAATGCAGCAGTTAGGTTGCTTTGCAGGGTGACCTACCAGTCATCAGCATATATCACCGCTGCAGAAAGAATTGCACTGTCTGCCTATATGCAGCCGGGCCAAGTTTAAGGACTTGATCTTAGTTTATAAAGCTCTGAAAAACTTAGGACCAGGTTATCTTTGTGGGCTTCTTGCCACAGAGGCTTGTGTCTAATCTTAACATACAGCAGATGAGGCCTTGCTAGTGGTGCCATATGTTAGGCGTAAAGCTTCAGGCAATAGGGGCTGATTGCACCAACTTTGTGGAACTCTATTCTGTTGACAGTTAGATAGGCAACGATTCCCTGTTTGCTGATGCCTATGGAAGCCTTTTTTATTTACTCAGGCTCTTGTCTGCTGGATCGTTGTTAGTTTTGCCTGTGGCAGCTGACACTATTTATAATGAAGAGAGTTTATGTGTTGCCTAGCTTTGTCACGATGCTTTCAATGTATTTGTATATTTTGCTCATGGCTGTGAAAGTTTTATAAGCAAGTGGTCTATATATTTGCATATACATGAATAAAAAAGAAATTGTATCTAGGCTCCTGTAGTATACAAATTCTGTGAACAGCTACCTGCAATCATCACATAAAAAGGGGATAAGTAACTTAGCTTGTTTTATATATTGGTGGGGACTTGCAACAAAATAGCTCAGTGTGGAGTGCTTCTGTTAAGGCTGTTTACATAATTTCAGTTTGCCTTCCCCTCAATTCTCTCCCCTCTCCCCACAACAGTTAGTCAAAATGCCATGCCACTGGCCATTGGAGTTTGGGGTATATATGTGTTGAAAACAATGGTGCTCAGTCTCATGTACCCTGAAATCTTTTGATTTCTCATTTGATTTCTATTGGCAGGCCCCCCCCCAAAAAAATTGTCTTTGAGAAAATTTTAAAATAGCTTCTCAGTGTGAACTAGGAAACAACCTATCCGGACAAGGAGATTGTTCTTTCTACCCTTTCTATATTTCTTTCTAGCAACTCCATGCAATTTCTCCTTCTACCCAGCTGATACCCAAAAGACAGCTGAGTTGGTTACAGCTTAGTGCTGATAACGCCAAGTTTGCAGTTTCAATCCCCATATGCCATTAGGTTCCTATGGGTCTGTGGGTCTGTTTGGTATACCCCCCCCTCGCCTGCCCCTTAAGGTTTTTTCCTAAAGTTCATTTTTTTAGAATTGGTAAACCTCCCCAAGGCTGCTAATAAATCTGTTTTGTGGGTGGGGCTTTTTGGCTCACACACCTGGGATGACTTGAATCAGTGTTTATAGGGATCGTGATTGTGTGTGTGTGTGTGTGTGTGTGTGTGTGTGTGAAATTAATGGAATTTGAAATATGTCTTGATGAATTGACAGTTTTATAGGAACCCTATAACAATTAATTAACATTTAAATAAATGAAAAAAATAACATCCCATTAGTCATTTGATGAAACTGGCCCTTATTCAAAGTAATTTAGTAATGATTAGGACAGCCAATTCAGCTAATAAAACTGCAAGATGATAGATGAAATTTATTGGTAATTTAATAAAACCAGAGAGATAACATGTGCGTATCCCAAATATTATGGACTGAAAAGTTGCAATCTAGTATTTCTCATGTTTTCTTTTGCAGTGTTTTCATTTGCTTTAAATTGTGTATAGTGTGTGTGTGTGTGTGTGTGTGTGTTTCTGTTTTAAAAGCTGCTTTGAGATCCAGAAGAGGTGAAAAGTAGTGTATAAATGTTTAAACAAATACACATTAACTTTACAAACCAAATCATAAAACGATTCCCCCT